GTTTCCAAGTTTCCCTCCGATATTTTGAAAAATTCTTTTTGATTAGAAAGAATTTGTTTTTCATTGAAGTGAAAAATTTTTCCTAAATAATAACTTTCATTTAGGCAAGAACACATCTGAGAAGATTCTGCGAACTTGGAAGATAGTTAACCTAACCTCAATGGGTGAATTACCGTTCTTTCTTACATGGCACGCATTGGTTTATAGAAACTATTAATCCAATCGATTAATATGCTAACAAACACGACGGACATTCGTGGATATGACTAATCCATCCACGATATAATGTGAAAGTGTAGCTGTCTAGAGGGCTCCTAACTAAAGGGTTCACTGATAACACTTAAATTGAATCATATCTCTTAATGCTAATCTTCTATGGCTAATGTATAGCATTTCCTAGGCATGCTTGCTTATATATGCAAACTCTCTTTAGTCTTTACTTGCCGTACTCGCCGTATTGTTCACTTGTTGCTCTTCTCTTATCAGAAATTCTACCATGCAACTATATGCCTATTAACTGATTTAACTGAGTTAACTTCATTAGTCTACGCAAACTGTTGGTATTTGCGGGCAATTGGTCGATTCGCTACCACTTAAACTATCACATGTGATGATGATTTTCTGTAATACAAGTTTCGACGAGTTTACATGGATTGTGCATACATTACCTTATGTCGCCCAACTTATCTAAATGCCAAAAAATAATCATGAGTTTGCGTTCTATATTCTGCTCTACTAAGACTTATGCGATGAAAAATGTCCCTAATTTTTAAGATTCGTGAATGGTATTTGATTCCAAGCTTGGAATCAATCTCAACATAGACGCTTTCGCTAATAAACTTAAATCGGCCTTATACGCCTCTATATCTGTCTTGGAATTTTTTTAGCTTTTGCTTACATGATCGTCGTTAAGGTTCTTCAGCCGACACCTCCTTATAAGAATAAATTGAAGCTCCTTAGGATACCGTCCTTGTAAAGAAGAGATGAAATGTTTGGTACTATCTTCACAGCGAAATTAATTCGAGGCAACAATTAATTTAATT